CTAACAGCAACAGTGCACACATGCTGTAACAGAGTTTGGCAACAGCTTTCTCTCTATATTGCATAGTAAAATAAATCCCGGGGTAAAATACATGTAACCTTACCGTTTTTCATGGCTCTGAAAATAACTCAGGTTCTCTTTACAAGTTGAGGTGAAGCATGTGTTGTCCAACAAATTATATCTTTTTAAGTTCTCCTTTATTAAATTGATAAATTTGAGAACTCTCAAAACAAGAACGAAAAGTCGCCCCACAACCCTATAATTAGTATGAAATGAATAATTCCTGTGTATGCAGATCTGTAACATATCCTGATCATATCTTAGAATTTTAGGTCTACGGCCATGCTACTTTGAACAAGCCCGATCCCGTCTGATCTCTGAAGCTAAGCAGGGTCGAGCCTGGTTAGTACTTGGATGAGAGACCACCTAGGAAGACCAGGTGCTGTAGGTGTAAAAAATAAAAAAAGAAAAGTAAGGGATTGTAAACTGACAAGGTCCTTGCAATCTGTGAGGTCAATCAAGGGTTGCCTCGCCTAAAAAAAAAAGAATTTTAGCTTTTATCTTCTTGATCAGCTACCCTCCATTTGAAAAAGAATGTTAGCTTTTATCTTCTTGATCAGCTACCCTCCATTTTTAAATCTGATTTTAAGTAGTCTAACTTGGACAGCTCCCAAAAACTCTTTTTTTCTGGTCGTCTGATATTCTCAGCACTTGGTAAAGCTGTTTGGTCCCAGGTATGCCCAAAACACCAAAACACATGTGCCTAGAATTTAGAAGATTCTCATCTTTCATGGAACATTCTTCAGTTTTATCTTCTTTTTGCCTATTAGGAAACAATGACCCTGGAAGATTTAAGTGACTTGTTCAAGGTCAAACTCAACAGAGTCTAGAGGAAGCTGAATTTCTTCTTGATTTACTCTGTCCATTGTATTTCATGACCAGGCAGCATATAAACCTTATCTATTTATCATTACCCAAATCCTTGAAATTGTTGAAAAATAGTAACAAATTATAAATTTACTGAGAGAACTTGGTATGTTTCTGTTATTTTCATAAAGTCAAGATGATCAGACATTTGAAGATTTTTGTAAAACCAAAGTTAAAACAAACTTTTGGAGCCCTGGTGACGATCTCTGAATTTCTTTTTAAGAGATAAGAGCTTGACGGAGTTTAATAACTCCTGATGTTTGATGTTGATATAACACAGTGGAAGTTCCATTTTCTAATAAATGGTAACAGAAAATACTAGTTTGAAGAAATTTAATAATCAGTATATATTTACTAAATTCCTCCTGGGTGCCCTAGAATTTTAAATCAATTTTATTGAGGTTTAATTTATATATAATGCACCAATTTTAAGTGTGCAATTTGATGAGTCCTCACAACTACATTTACAGTTGTGTCACTAGCTCCACAATCGAGGTGCTACAACATTTCCGTCACCTCCCAGAATTCTCTTGTGCCCTTTGGCAGTGAATCTTCCCCCATCCTCTTCCATTCCTTGGCAACCACTGATCTGCTTTCTATCACTATAATTTTGCCCATTTTATAATTTCATATAAATGGAATCATAGTATATATAGCCTTTTGTATCTGACTTTTACTTGGGATAATGCTTTTAAGATCCATCCATGTTTTTGCAGGTATCAATAGTTTGTTCTTTTTTTATTGCTGAGTAGTGATGCTGTTGTATTGTTATACAATTTGTTTTTCCATTCTGCAGTTGATAGACATTTGGATAGTTCTAGGTTTTGACTCTTAGGAATAAAGCTGCTATTAACATTTAAGTACATGTCTTCACGTGACCATATGTTTTCAGTTTTCTTGGGTAAAGACCTAGGAGTGGGGTTGCCGGGTCATGTGGTAAGTGTATAGTTTACTTTATAAGAAACCAAGAGACTGTTTTCCAAGGTGACTGTACCATTTTGCATTCCCACCACTTATGTGTGAGGGTACCAGATGCCCCACACCTATGCCAGTATTTGGTGGGATCAGTCTTTTTAATTTTGGCCATTGCAGTAGGTACATAATGGTATCTTGGTGTGGCTTTAATTTGCATTTCCCTGATTATAAAATAAAAAAACCTACAGTTTCGCCCCTATGTGAGGAAAACCCAGGCCTTCCTCCTGTGCTTTTCTCCTGTGTGTCTCTTTTACCAGTCACACAAAAAACTTAACTTTTGGTCACCAAATGTGTGGGGCCTTTTTTCCCCCACCAAGCAATTCTCTGTGACACCAGCTGGGTGTCCTACAGTTAAACCGAATTCTGATACTTTACCTGGTGATAGCATCAGATTTCAGGGGTTAAGGGAACAGTCCCACAAGACTGCCCTAACCCCTGCAGATGCTGGTCACAAGCCCAAGTTATCACCTTGCTTCTGACCAACCAACTATCGATTGGGGGTTCCCAATCCCAATGACTCCTTCCTTGGATTCAATTAATTTGCTTGAGTATCTCACAGAACTCAGGGAAACACTTACTTATGTTTACCAGTTTATTAAAGGATGTGATGAAGGATACAGAGAACAGCGAGATAGAGATATATAGTATAGGGTGAAGTCTGAGAGGATCCTAAGCCCAGGAGTTTCTTTCCCCATGGAGTTGGATCCAGCATGGATTTGTTGGCCAATCTGAAAGCTCTCTGAACCCTATACCATTGACATTTTATGGAGGATATGATCAATTATTAACTCTATTCTAAGCTGCTTATCATGGGTTGGCCTTTCTAGTGACCAGCCCCTATCCAGGAACAATCCAGGAGCCCACTCAGATTCACCTCAGCAGAACAAAAGATGCTCCAAGGGCGCTTGAACCTTAGGAATTTGCAAGGGTTTTAGGAGCCCTGTGTCAGAGATGGGGGCCAAAGACCAAATATTAGAACGAGAGATGCTCCTAATGTTCTTACCATTTAGGAAATTACAAGGATTTTAGAAGTTTCATGCTGGAAACTGGGGGCAGAGGTCAATATATATATTTTCTATTATGTCATACTAATAATTAATGATATTGATTATTTTTTTCATGCTCCTGCTGGCCATTTGTATATCTACTTTAGAAAAATGTTCGTCTTTCACCCATTTCTTATTGATCGTCTTCTATTATTGAGCAGTAGTTCTTTATATATTCTGGATGTAAGTCCTTTAGCAGATATATGTTTTGTACATATTTTCTGTCTGTAGCATGCCTTTTCATTTTTGTAATAGAGTCACAACAATTTTTGATGAAGTCCAATTTATCAGTTTTTTTCCTCTTACAATTTGAACTTTTTGTATCCTATTCAAGAAATTTTGCCTGTTTTATTCTAGAAGTTTTGTAGTTTTTGCTCTTATATTTAGGTTTGTGGTACATTTTGAGTTAGTTTTTATTTATCATTAAGAGTCAAGAGTCTTTCTTTTACATATAGATATTGACTTGTTCCAGCACCATTTGATAAAAAACAAACAAACTAATCTTACCTTATTAACCACATGTATACTTACATATGTGTGCATATCAGTCTATTTCTGGGTCTTCTACTCTCTTCAGCTGATTTGTATAGCTATCCTGTGCCAAAAACGCAGTCTCAATTAAGCTTTATAATGGTATCAAAATCAGTCAGTATGAGTCCTCCAATTTTGTTCTTTTTTTTTTTTTCAAAATTGTTTTGGCTTTTCTAGGTCCTGTGCATTTTTATATAAATTTTAGAATCGGTTTGGCAATTTTAACAAAAAACCTTGCTGAGATTTTGACTGGGATTGCATTTTATCAATATGTCAATGTAGAAGAAATCGATATCTAAATAATAGAGAATTTGTATCTAGGCTTTTGTTTTATTATTTTTATTAATATTCTCTGGAAATGTTTAGAATTTGTTCCATTTTCCTAACTTCCCCATATGTGACCAAATAAAAACTGTTACCAGGCAGGATATGAATAGCTCTTAGTTTATTTTGTGTGTGTGTGAGCAAAAGAAAAAAGAAAAAGAGGAAGGAAAATAACTTTTCACTAACTTAAGATCTTTGTAACTATTAAACCCTGTGCAAACCAGTGATATTATTTATCTCATTTTTAACCCAGATCCTATCAACATGATGTAAAATGAACATTGTCATCTTCTAGGTCAGCGTTTTTCAAAGTATCATCTCTGAGACCATCAGTATCAGCTGGAGACTTGTGAGAAATGCAGATTCTCAGGCCCCTAAATCAGGCCTGCTAAATCAGAAACCCTGAGAGGGAGGCCAGCAATCCGTTTTCACAAGCACCCCCTACCCTGACTCTGTTACGGGCTAAAGAAAACTTTCTTTCTGGAAGATAAATCTCAAGCTTTATCAAAGGAGAAAGAAGTATGGAAACCAGTTATGAGGCTATTGTAGCAGTTGATACAGAAAGTGAAACCTGTAGGATTTAGATATCAGGGCAGTGGAAAGGGAGAAATCAGTACTCAAGGTTTTGATTCTGCAAAATTCTTTTGTCCCACACGCTCTGATTTCTCCATTGGTCAGCTTTAGAACTCTCATATTCAGTCTTGGTGTCCTGTACAGGGTAGTGGTTTTAGTGTTGTTTGAACAGCACCTGGCACCCTAAAGTACTCGATGGTCTTTTAATTTGGGGAGATTCATTCACGCCACAGTGTTAGTGGTGGAGCAAAATGCGAACTCATGGGAGCAAAAGAGGAAATCTTAAATGTGGTGTTTCCCTTTTGTCATTGAGAATGAACAGGAGGCAGAAGAATTAGAAAATAAACCCTCAGTGTATTGGGAAATCGATAGTTTGTAAAAATTGGTAGTCTTAGTAGAAAATTAGGTTTTGAGTATTGGAAATGATCTCTGCTTTTAGGATTGTAGGTTAAAAGAAAAGTGAATATGAAATAGATCAATTTATTGTTTGAAGTTGCCAGAATATTTTTATAAATAGAGGCATGACTAAAACTATTAGCTGGTACCAGAACCACTGCCTTCTCCTTACTTTAATAGAAATCCTAATCTAGAGAAGCAACTCTCTTACACTGCTTTTTGTTACAGCTAGTCCTCCTCGTTTTGTGACGGTGGATGAACTTCTAGAGACAGCAAAAGGAGTCACTAACATGGTTCTAGCCCATGAGATTGTCGTAAATGGAGACTTCCGGATTAAACCCGTTGAATTACCAGAAGACAGGTAAAGTGGTTACTGAGTTACTTTGTTTTGTAGAATACTGTCATTTCCCAGTGTCGGAAATATTTTCTTCACTTGATGGCATTCTATTCACATACACCTCTCCTTTTGTATGTTGTTGCTTAAAAATATCCCTATCCTAGGAATGACTAGAGTTTGAAAGTGGATCGAAGGACCACTGATCCTTCAAATGTAAACAAAAGATCTGGAAATTTCCTGTGGAAGTCTTTCATGTTAGCTTCTCCCCACTAGGACTTAGCTGCCTCATATTATGTTGTTATTGCATTGTTTCATTCATTTCTTGTAACTATCAAATTGTACTGTAATTGTTGGTTTACTCGTGTTCTTTGCCAGGTTGTAAACTACATAGACAGGGCCTGTGCATTATTCTCTCTATTCCTAGCACCTGGCACATATCATTTTGAATCTAAAACTCTATCGATTGTAAGGTGCGCCTTTTAAAATGTATTGCCATAGGAAAGGAAAATCATTGCCTGTTGTAAAAGTGCTGTGAAAAACATTGGTATTCTGTTAACTAAGGAGGAGGAATGGCTGCTGAATTGGCAAGCTCTAGTGTCTCCAAAATAGGCTTCTAAATATGACTGTACAAACGTTTCTTATATGCTCTGCAAAAACAGTACTTTTTTACATCAATAATGAGAATTACTTATTTTGCTCTCATGCTATAATGACTAGTTTTAATAAGATGTTATATACAAGTTGTTACAGTTTGGTACCTAATTAAGCAATCGTCTCATATATCAAATGGGAATAAGATATTTTTAGGAAATGAAGTCCTTCAACCTATATGCATATTGAATTGTTATCTTATGCTGCTTAACCATAACTATCTTAGGAAACTTGGTGGTATCAGGGAAGTAAAAATTAATAACTTCGAACTTTCCAATATTCTTTTTATCTATGGCACTATCATATGCTGTTAATTGTCATCTGTCAAATTAGTTGAAAGTTATTCTTTACAATGAGATACTTATTGAAATAAATCACTAACTGAAAATAAGATAGTGATCTATTTAAGTATGTCTGGTAAGTCTTTCATTTATCCAAATTACTTTTAAAATTTCTCACCATAAACCCATAGAGTTTGTGCTTTTTAAAGTGATTTGAGGCTTAAATATTATATTTGTTGTTTCTTCTTCTTTTCTTTTTTCTCATTTGCCTCCAGTTTGGAGAAGAGAGTAAAGGAGATTGTACATAAAGCTTTCTGGGATTGCTTGAGTGTCCAGCTAAGTGAAGATCCCCCAACATACGACCATGCCATTAAACTTGTCGGAGAGATCAAAGAGGTGAGTGGAAGAGCAAATTATGGTGCTTTTTTGGTGTGTTAGGAGTATTAAATCTCTCCGTGTTATTGTGCCAGAAGATTTAAAAGAAATCGAAGGATCAGGAAGTTAAATTACTTGCCAAAATGTGGTTTAAAAGTATTTTTGGCTTAATACCCTTTTTAAAAATTTCAAACAAGGTATAATAAGCTAAAAGCATTCCTTTTGTAGATGAAAAAAAGTTTATATTTTTGAAGACAATTATTTAAAGAAAACAGAAATTATATTATAAAATATAGGTGATTTTATACATATTTTAATAGGTATGGACATGTTCAGTTTATAATAGCCAAAAAGTGATTCAGCCTGTGGGTTAGAGGAGGCATTAAGTGGAAGGTAGGGCTGTTTTGCAATACCTTTAGCAGCAGTATCAAAGAAGAGATGTATCCGGAAATTGGCATACAGGCTCACAGGCTCATGTTAATTAATGTTTTTCTTTTCTCACCTTTAACAGTTTATTCATGTTGTATCTAGTTGGTTGCTAGAGCTTAAATGGAAACTTAAATAGTTATTCTAAATGATTTGAAAACATGTTTTTCTGTAGATTTGTTGATTAAAAGGTTAAAATATGTACAGCATTATAGGAACAATTGGTAAGCCCTTATTTGTATAGATGTAAATTCCTTTACATATAATCGAAAATGATGTCTGACTAAGAAACGGACTAAACTTAGCTGTTCTCTTTTGTAGACTCTGTTATCCTTCTTGCTGCCTGGTCACACTAGCCTGAGAAACCAGATTACAGAAGTCTTGGACCTGGATCTGATAAAGCAAGAAGCAGAGAATGGGGCCCTGGACATTTCCAAGCTGGCAGAATTCATCATTGGCATTATGGGGACACTGTGTGCACCTGCTCGAGATGAGGAAGTTAGGAAACTAAAGGACATTAAAGAAATAGTGTCCCTTTTCAGGTATGGGAATTGTATTAACCACCTTCAGTGTACCTAAAATAGAGATCCTATTCTTCAGATTTAGACTTCCTCAAGTGTAGATACGTCTGCATTTTAAGACAATATCAAAAGCAGACATTTTATAAAATATAGAAAAGTAGAAAGAAGGAAAAAATTCACCTCAAATTTTGAATTCACCACGTGTCGAGTTGTGTGCTGTGGCTGATAAAATAACTCTTGCTGAAGAGGAATGCCTGGTGCTGCCCTATTGGTAAGCTGCATGATAGATGACGCCAAACCTGTGGCTTACGGTAGTCTTGTTAGTCTCAATGTTAGCTGAACCTCAGAAGACCTTTTGGAGGGTATTGCAAGCTTGACTTTTTCTATTAACATTATACCCTAATCATTTCACTTATTTTTTAATTGAAAGTGTCATTGAGAGCATTGTATATTTACATGGAATTACGAGAAATAATACAGTAAACTTCATCCAGTTTTCCCCAATGGTAGCATTTTGTAAAACCGTAGTGTTAAGATCCACTGACATGACTTAGCTTTTCTGTTGTACTTGTATACATTAGTGTGTGCATATTAATTTTATATGATTTTATCACCTATGTAAGTTTGTGTATCAGCTACCACAGTCAAGATACTGAACAGTTTTAACACCACAAAGGTCTCTTGTATTATCTTTTTATAACCAATTTATACCAGTTTAAAAAATTCCCCATAAGCATTTTCTATGCCTGCAAAGTATTCATTGCATATAATGAAGTATTTCTCTGTTAAGATGGACAATTAGATTATGTATAATTATTTACTATTTAACCCTGCAGTGAACATCTTTGTGTACAGAACTTTTTTTGTATTTTAGGTTATTTTCCTAAAGGTAGGTTCTTAAAATGGGATGACTGTCAAGTCTGCACATTGGGTACATTCAGAATGTGAAATAGCAATTATGCCACCCGAACTAGAACGTAAAACATGCCCTGAAACTAAAAGAGACTCGGTAAGAGGAGAGGAGAAAGGAGAGAGTTATTATATTTTTCTTTCCTAGGAAAGCGAATTGACCTATGTGAGAGTAGAGACCCAGTGGTGAGCTCTCTTCCCTGAACCTCTGTGATTTTGGGCTCCTTCCTCTTCTGTGGTCGCCATGAGGGCTGACCCAGAGCTGAGGGACTCATTCCAGTCTAGACAGGCAGTGGGGGTAAATGTGTTTGCTTGAGGGTCAAGGGTGGAGGTGTGGGACAAAAAGCAGCTTAAAATGTGCAATCTTTTCTAACCATTATTTAAATTTTTATGTTTTCTAAGTATGTTTTTCTTAATTTTCTCATGATTTTACTAACTTTTCTTGCTACTCTTTCTGAGATGAGAAGACTATCTCAAATCTGCTCATCTTTTTTTGTTAAAACAATATTTATTTTACAAGTGCCCAGTTCTGAATCTTTTTATTTCTTTTCTTTAAGGGCAATTTTTTCTGTGTTGGACCTAATGAAAGTGGATATGGCAAACTTTGCTGTCAGTAGCATTAGGCCACATCTGATGCAGCAGTCAGTGGAATACGAAAGGAAGAAGTTTCAAGAGCTTTTGGAGAAGCAGCCGAGTATGTTTAATGCTTTGTGGTGTTCTTTTGTTGTCTGTGTTTTGTGTTTTTTTGGTTTTTTTTTTTTTCATTTTAGTTGCTGTAGCTTGTTGTATAACGATATCATCTTCAAAACAAAACTAAAATCCAATATGAGGATATTCTAATTTGAACATAGAAAAGCACAAGACATTAGGACTTGAAAAGAAAATTTAGTTGACAAGCAACAGAAGTATAAGTAGGACATAAAAATAGAAATTTGAAAGAATGAAGAAGTCTTAAATGAAATAGGTTTTTAATGAAGACACAAGTTTGAGACAAATTTTATGCTTGACCTTGATTTTAAAAACATGACAAACTTTCTGTGATTATGAATTCACTTTTCTCCTCCCTGTAAGGTGATACGTCAAGAATTTCACTTTGTTTCTGTTTTATATTCATAAATCTTCTCTTTTCAGACCCAGAAAAAGTCTTATTTTTACAAATTTCTCAGATGACTGCAGGAAACAAATGAATACAGAATCCAAAACTATTTTGCATTTCTAGCATGCTTTTTTTGTCTCTGTATTGGCAGCTAATGTTCTGGGTAAATTGTAGTCTTCGTATCCAATTTATCATGAGTTTTGTTTAGCCTCCAACTTTGTTGGTTGTAAGATGAAAATGGCAGTCTCTGGATAGATGTTGTTGCATGACTAGAATAGTTAATTCAGCCCTGAGCAGTTGTTCATTCAGCCCCAGATGGAAAAGTCTGAGATGGTGCTGGGGGTCAGGAGGAGAAGGAAAGAGCTGGGTAGAAGTAGCAGCATTAGAAAGAAGATTGGCTAATGTTTATTACGTCACGGGTATATGCGCATAACCACACAGAGCCCTCTCACAGTAAACATGTGAGGTAGGCCACATTTTTTAACTCCATTTTGCAGATGTGAACATAGATTTTGAGAGATCTTTGACCAGAATTGATTGACTACACAGCTCACTTCCTCAGCCAGTATTGTATTGCCCCTTAGGAGACATCCAGGATTGCAGTTTGGTAGACTGAAGAGCCTTAGTATGAGAGCCAGAGGCCAGACCCCGGGACCCAGTGAAGGATACATTTCCGGAATGGAATGCAGGCCCTGAGCTGGTCAGTCTAGTACTCATGACTCATGGCTGCTGAGCTACAGAGTGCTGTCTGCAGAAGCTAAAGGGAGAGTCAAGCTCAGAACCAAGAGCTCGGGGTGATCTCTGTCGACGGGACCAGAGGTGCATCCTCTTGCATCAGTGAAGAGTGAATTCCAGCCATGGCCTTGGCTGCCCACTGGTTTTAAGGTGGATTCCACTGGCAGAGTTGTAGCATGTTCCAGGGCCTGTTAGAGGTTTTTTTTTTTTCGCTCAGATAATGTGGACAGAAAGCTCATCTTCTTTCTCTTATGTCCCTTAGAGCCTCTCATGCATTACTCAGCCTAGAAAAGTAGAGAGAGCATAACGGTAGGTGAAAGACAGCTGAGATTCCTCTAACAGCACTCCAAGTGCTGCACGATAGACATCAAACACATGACAGAGCTCACCTCCCGTAAGGCTGAAAGTAAACAAGATTGATACAAGGCCAAGATCTATCAAGGAAAAGCCAGGGTGGAAGAGAAGAGAGCCAGGGTTGGCTGAACATCCTTAGGTGGCAAGGCCTGGCTCCGTGCTTTATACTCACTACATTGTTCAGTCCTCACAACAGACTGTGACGTGAAGTTGTACTTTATCTTAGGAATCTACTGTTCATACAGATTAGGACATGCCTAACTAAGATCACTCAGCCAGTAATTGGTAATATTGTGATTTGAAGCGAGTTCTGTTTGATTCCAAAGTCTATGCTCTGTACCATACCACACCTCCAGGATGACCTTTTCTAAAGTAATTCCAAGAAGCACCCCTCTTGAATGTCATAGTAATGTTCACAGCCTTGTTTTTCATAGATTCCCTGGACTTTGTTACCCAGTGGTTGGAAGAAGCTGCAGATGACCTCATGAAGTATAAAAATGCCCTGCCAGCTGGGGGAGGGGCTGCTGGCTCTGGGGACGGTGCTGTGCCAAATCCTGTTGCTGTCCAGAATTATGCCTACCTGAAGCTTCTGAAATGGGACCACCTCCAGAGACCTTTCCCTGAGGTAGGTGCTGCAGAGCAGTCTAACTACGTGTGTTCATTTCTTTTCGTGCTGCCGAACTTAAAAAAAAGAAAATAGTTTCGTTATAATTCATATGCCACAAAATTTCTCCTTTTTAAACTGCACAATTTAGTGGTTTTTACTACGTCCACAGAGTTATGCGACCATTACCGCTATTTAATTTCGGAATATTTTCATCACCCCAAAAAGAAGCCCTGTACCCATTAGCAATCATTACCCTTTCTCCTCTTCCCCAGCTCCCCAGTGGCCACTAAACTGCTTTCTGTCTATGGATTTGCCAATTCTGGACATTTCGTATAAGTGGAAACATACAGTTTTGGCCTTTCGTGTCTGGCTTCTTTCACTAAACGTAATTTCCATCCAAGTTGTAGCATGTATCAGTATGTCATTCCTTTTTTTTTTTTT